CGTAGGAATCCTAGTCTATAAGTCACTCACGTGAGCAAATTAACAAGGATTAGAACAAGGAATTGCCCACTCTCGTGGTGAATCAACTCCAAGTTCTTCAAGAACACAAAGCATCTAAAACCCCCAATTTCCCCCATTTTCATAGGAAAAATCGGGTTTATGCAAGGAGTGGCTTGGAATCTTGACCCAACTCTCATTGAGGCCAAGAATCCTCCAAAACATGCCAATGAATGTTGTACACCAAACATTGACAATATACAAACACAAATCCTTCATAAACTCAAGAACCCTAGGTTAGTGTTCTTCCCCTATTTGCAATAATCATAAATCAAGCATCAAGATAGATAATACAACCCTAACTCAAGTCCAACATACTAACTACTCATGATTTAATAGCATAAAGAACACAAAAACACAAGTGTAAAGCATAAACATTGCAAAGGAAAAGAGATAAGGGAAAGAACACTTCTCTAAAGAAATTGATGCTAAATCTTGGAATCCAAATGTTGAATCCTTGAATACAAGCTTGAAATATGATAAAGAACCTAAATCTATACCTAATCTAACACTAAAATATGAAAGGAAAGAGTAGAAAAGAGTTTGGGTTCGATTGGGGTTCAAAACCGAGTAGAAATGAGTGAAAACTCAGCTAAAATAGAGCAGAGACGGGGGGCTCGACGCGTCGAGAGTTATTCTCGACGCGTCGAGCATTTACAGATTGCAAAACGCGATCTCACTGCCCAGATTCGACGCGTCGAGAAAATTCTCGACGCATCGAGTGCTTCTCTGCAACGCAACTCCGACTTGTAGGCTGATTTTGACCACTTTATGCTCAGAATTAGGCTTCGATGTCTTCATGAAAGTTGTAGCTCTTCGAGTATTCTTTCCAATGGAGCAAAAATCACTGAATTTGGACATTTCTAGGCCGAGATATGGTCCAAAACCTAAGGTATCGACGTGCAGGTCGGGAATTTCAATTCCATGATCTTTTGCTTCTCTTTTGCTTTGGTTTGCCCAAATGATTAAGACCATTGAATACACCATTCTTAGGCTTTCTTGGAAGTGTTTTTCTCATCACCTTAGCTTCTCCTTGGCTCCCATGAACCCTAAATGTATCCATAATGCTCCACTTGACTCCAATGTCCTTCAAAATGCATGAAAATATTCATTTTTGCTTCCAAAGCTTTTCAAACCAAATTCCTTGCAAAATAACACAAATTAGTCCTAATCTAATGAAATTTGGAATGATCTATAAACAAAATGGCTTAGTGAAAGGAGCAAAAATATAGACAAATAAGCACTTATCACTAGGGCTTCAACAATTTTAGGAGTTAAGGAACTCCTAGAGGCATCTAATACCCTACCACTAATACTGAATGCACTCTCAGAGGCAACAGTTGAAATGGGAACAGCCAGCACATCTCTTGCCATTTTAGAGAGTATAGGAAATCTATCACTGTTAACCTTCCACCATCTTAGGACATCAAAGTCCACATTTTCTTCATCTTCCACTAATTTTTCACTTAGATAAATCTGGAGTTCAGTTTCTTTACTGCTTCCACCAGTCTTCATTCTCTGTTTTTTAAGCTTTTCATTCTAGCCTGAGGTTTTCCAACTGAAGTTTGAGAATGGACAGGTTCAGATTGCGTAGATTGCACAGTAGGGGATGTAGACTGCACATGGTAGGTGGCTGTATAATCATTAAACAGCACAACCATAGAAGATTGAACCTTTTCAAAGCATGATTTTCCTTTATCATCACCATATAACTGAGCAAATTGGGCAGGCATGTACTCAATCTTATCCCTAGGATCCAAAATATTGGCATAGAATATCAAGAAGTTCATTTTTTCAAGATCTCCCCAATATTTTTCAAATTTTTGTTTTATATGGGACCCCATTTCCTTAAAAAACAGACATAACACAGAAAAAATTAAATCAAAGTCAAACACAATTCACAGATGCATACAAAAACATTCAAAAAATGTTTTTAATTTACCTTTTCAGAGGTTGAAACAGAGTTAACCATGTCATCCAGCATGCAACCTAAGTCAGAAATCTCAAAAAAGAAAGTATTTGAAGTGACATAGAGAGAACCAGATATTCTCACAGTCATCTCATAGAAGCCTTTCAGAAAATGGACTAAGCTTTGCACAGAAAGCCAATCCATAAAATTTGGAATAGAATAAGATAAGTCAGCACTCATTGAGGAATCATTCTCATAAGCTTCAAAGGCCCTCTGGTATTGAAGGGCAGTGTTGAGCATCATGTATGTGCTGTTCAATCTTGTTGGAACATCAAGTTGTAATGCACATTTGGCTTCCACCCCGTTAAGCACAGCAAGCTCTCTAAACTTTTGGAGTCTGGCAGGAGAACTCCTCACCCATCTCACAACATCTCTAACTTTCTTATCAGAAGGACCTGCATATCTCAATCCATCCTGGACCACTAAGTTCAACACATGGGCTATGCACCTCATGTGCATATATTGAACCCTAACAAAAGACCCACCCCAAGACAGAAGTTTGTTCTTGAAAAACCCCAAAGCTGTGTCATTTGAAGAGGCATTATCAACAGTAACAGTGAAGACATTTTTAATCCCCCAATCAAGAAGATAGCTCTTAGGTTCACGTATTTCTTGGGAGGCATGTGTTGCCAAAGTGTGTGATCGGTACCTCGTGTACTATGAATTGGTGGAAATTGTTGGCGATCGTTGGTGGATGGGGACAACGGTCCTCGGAGGGATAAGGTTGGACTTGGCTGTACAGGGGTCCTCGAGGTAAAGGTTGGAACTAGATATAAGGTTGGGATAAATTATGTATCCCAAAAAAACATGGTGACCTGGGATTCAAGGATTTGAGAGCATTCAATTTTGCAATGTTAGGTAAGCAGGCATGGAGATTGCTCACTAACACTGAATCATTTGTGGCTCGGGTTTATAAGGCTAGATATTATCCTAAGGATACCTTCTTGGAGGCAAATATAGGAAATAATCCAAGCTTTTGTTGGCGTAGTATTATGACGGCTAAATATCTAATATGCAGTGCTATAAGGAGACGAATTGGGAATGAGAAATCTACCTTCATCTGGGAACATCTCTGGCTGCAAGATGAACTGGATCCTATGGTTCACACGCAAATGCCACAACATCTATCTAGAGCCAAAGTGGTGGGATTAATTGACCAGGATACGGGTACTTGGGATCCACATATACTAGCTGATATTTTTCAACCAAGTGATATACCTAGAATCCAAAAGAGACCAATTGCCCCAGAGTATGATGATATATGGTATTGGTATGAAGATCCTAATGGTTGTTATTCGGTCAAGAATGGGTACATGCGTATAGTTGGTAATTATGAGAATAATTCTAATGGAGCATTTGATGAATGGCCCACCCTATGAAGTTGAAAATCCCACCCAAATGGAAGACATTCCTATGGAGAGCTATTTGTGATATCCTTCCTACCACCAACAATTTGCTTATAAAGAGAGTGGATGTTAATCCGATGTGGGCCATCTGTGGAATGATGAATGAGGACACCATGCATGCATTAGTTTTGTGTGACTATGCAAACTCCATATGGACTAAATCCAACCTTCCACTCCCTAATGTTATCACAAATGTTTTTCATGAATGGTTTAGTGCAATCTTGAATGTTCTAGACTTTAATGGAATTGTTTATGCAGTTGCAATATTATACCATCTATGGAGAGCCCGAAACGGAGCAGTCTGGGATGCCTGTCTACCAAGACCAACGAAGTTACTTGTGATTGCAGCTGCTACTGTGCGGGCATGGGAAGCCGTCCATCACCGCACCCCAATACGGCAGTTTACACGCCAAACTGCTCCGATCTCCGTAGCTGCCGCGACTGCTCCTACTGCCAGGAACTCTCTGCCAACCGACGGTGCTGTTATGCAGGCCGCCGGGCATCCGCCGTCTCCACCACGGACCCACCATGCTCTCTCACATCGCACAATGACAAGGCCAAGAAAATGCTACACAGATGCTAGTTACCACCACGGAACAAATTCGGCTACAGTCGGTGCAGTTCTTCTCGACGCCGACGATCGTTATGTGTCAGCTTTCAGTGTCCCCCTAATAGGTTGCTTCTCCCCACTCATGGACGAGGTATTTTCATGAAAAGAAGCCTTATCCTGGCTTAAAAGGTGGGATGAACAGATTATATAGATTCACACGGACTGCCAATTGCTACAGAGTTATCTGTCTAGACTAGCCACCACATCACGTTCATATCTAGGTTATGCTATTGATAGTTGCAGAACCTACATATCTACTTTTACTTTCTGCTCCATTAATTTTATTCCTAGATTACAGAATTTATTAGCTCATTCCCTAGCTACTACAGCTTTTGATTTCACTACGGCTATGTACTGGGACAAGTCCCACCAAACTCTATTTCAGCTTATCTATAAATACAACCGCTAGGTTGACCTTAAAAAATAAATATTCTTTTTTAGTACTATTGACTTTGTTACTAAAACAAAGAGTCAATGTCCCACTAAAGTTTGAACCTATGGCCTCTCATTTAAGAGAACCACAGCTATACCGCACGACAACTGCACGACTCAACTTCATAATAATAAAACAAAAACTAATTATGAATAAATAAACAAAGACTAGCTCAAAACAATCATATGATATATTTCGGATTCCAGAATTAAGATTCATGATGCATTTTGATGCCTTGACAATGATGAGAATCCTATAATATAGTACAGATATGCTTTGTAAAGAAAATATATGAGGGAAGAACTCAAAAATGGTACTATGCATAGCCATGCATGCATTTAACAAAGTATTCTAATTCTGAGATGTTATCTGCCGTTTGAATCCGCTGCCATGGCCGTTCGAGTACAAAGAATGTAAAGTGGTTCATTCGGGATCATTTCTTGACTTTGATGTCTCGACGAGTCTCATAAACGTTTCTCTACCATAATCCCGGGGGGCGTTATGAACAGCTATAGCTACTCCCTTGTTCACGGAAAAATCTAGTCTCATGTGGCCTAGAATTATAACAACCAACATTATCAGGCCCCATTTCCCAGGAAGGTTGCCCTCGTTTCTTTGCAGCAACTTTAAGACTTCACAGAAGAAACTTATCATGACACTGCAAGAGGGGGAAGGAAGTCGATTACTAATTTCACCAAGGCAGCAGGGAGAAGCATGGCATTGGAAACACATAGAATGAATGAATATATGTTTGATGTGGATAGCAAAATTACAATTAGTAAGAAGATACTATATAAGGATTAATAGAAATGAATTCATAGACCTTGGTGTAATGAGCGAATAGATACCTGAAACTCACCAATACCAAGATGCTATAAAAGGATTAATAGAAATGAATTCATAGACCTTGGTGTAATGAGCGAATATATACCTAAAATTAACCAATACCAGGAAATCTCCATCCATTTCTTTCAGAAAAAGAAGGGTACTTCGACTCCCCAAAAGCTCCAAGTCCAATTTCCACAGCAGAAATGAGACCCTTGGTGAACAAATCATTAAACTCAGCTCGAAAGCTTCTCATGAATTCATAACAACCCTGCAAAAATTGGATTACAAATGAGGATTAATGCAACCAATTTCAAAGTTAACAGGAAAATTATGCAGAATAATACTATTTGCTTTCTAGAATAGTTAGATACTCCTTACATAAAAATAAAATAGATGTATGAATTGAAAAGGGGATATGCATGAGGTGCATAAAGCACCAAACTTATAAATCAACCCTGAAGAAGGATAATGTAATAGAATGCCCTTCCTGGGACCAAGAAGAAAGAGCACTCATAACACTCTTCCTTCTTTTCAAGAATAAGAAAATTTACCTAGGATCAGGGTTTACACAGTGCACACTCTCAGGTAGTGACTGTGAGTTTCCCTCATCACCCAATAAATTAACAAACAAAAATGAATATGAAAATTTTGATACCTCTCGACCAGTTCTATGTTCTAAAATACACTCCTTATCTATTCCCCAAGAAAGACATTCAGTATTCCATCTTCCTACACGACCAGTGAAGAATATTTCTGGGATGTCTTTTCCAATCTTCAAAACCCACTGAGGGAGAGGTATATCCACTTTGAAATCATTTCCACCATAAGCATTAAACGCAATTACAACCTTCAGAAGAAAAGAAGATAGTTAATAAACAATCCACTTGTAGCACCCCAATTTTTCAATTCAAAATTTCCTTCACAATAATACTTTTTCTCAATTAAAAGTACATTAATAATATAGCGGAAGCATTTACTAACCAAAAAGAAACTGGGTTTTAGCGCCACACTCAGGTATTTCTCTTATACCCAAACGCTAAGGCTAAAATACAACTTCCAATCGAACCATCCAAAACTAACTTAATACAATAAGTGTAAATAATTATACAACCATATTTCCCCAAATATCAATTCAAATTTCCAATATGCCTATTCTTGATAGACTAAACTCGTTTTCAACTTGAATCCTTTTATCCATGTTCACTTGTACAAATAACTTACAACAAAATAGGGTGTAGACAAAAATTAGCATAAACAATTATACAATACCTTTTTCCAGCTCCTCAAAATTCATAATCTAGGTTCTTCTACTTCTTGTATCCATGTTTCCATGACCTAGGCTCCCAAAGGTTCGAATTGCTCAGATAACAATTTGTAACACCCCAAATTTTCAATTCTAAATTTCCTTCACAATAATACTTTTTCTCAATTAAAGGTTCATTAATAAACAATCATTAGAGAAAAAAATCTTCCAAGTGGAGAAATGCCAATTTCTGCATATCATTTCTCCATTTTTGGGTCGACAACCCACAGGGCAGAGGGACAAAGTTGGCAAAACTAGAAATGATGAAATAGTTGAGCTAAATTTCTGGAATGTATGTCTAAGGAGAAAGTCCAATGCTTACAAACAAAAAAAATGTTCACTCATTTATTAGAACCAACGATGAGCTGATATACCAGAAGCAGTAAAATGCGTGAATGTACCAGAACATAAATTTCATACCTGCAATTTCAATCCCTTATCTCGGATGATATCGAACAATTCTCTGTATCCAGACCACTTATATTTCTGGTCTTCCTTTCCTTCAACAATCCCCCACCAACAATTTACAACGACAACATCTATGTTTAAAGATTTCAATAGCTGTAACTCCTGTTTAACACCACCAGGATCCACTAATTGGCAGAAATTGTTAATTATGCCACTCTGCTAGAAAGAAACTTGTTAATATTAGCATTGACTGAAAAAGAAAGGTGAACATAGTGAATAAAAAATAATCTTGCATTCATTCCTTTAGATCATGAATGCCTGGATAATTTCAAGAATCAAAGCAAATATTATTAAATTTTGAGTCTTAAATATTTCAATTTAATTGCATTAGGACAGAAAATTTAATGATTTATTTGACAATTATTCCACAATTTATAGCAACCACTATTTTATTTGTTCTATCTAAATCTAATCTAAAAACATAATAAACCTTAAACAAAATTATATTTCTAATTTATATTAATGTTTTTAGTACTACTAATTATTTTGTATGTTGTGTTTTTAGAGTTGTAAGTATATAATTTTTTGAACAAAAATATTGCTACCATTATAACTTTCGTTATCTTTTCCATTATTCTTACCATACACATACATTCACCATATATTTTCTTATATTCTTTAATGATAATAATATTTGTAGAAATTATATATTGGATTAATATAATAAATAAATTTGATTTCATATAGATTTTAATTAATAAAGATTTGTTAGTTATTTTTAAAAATATAAATATTAGGCATATATTTTTGCACATCGTGCATAGAAAATTCTAGTAATAATAATAAATGCCATAATTTTTAAATTAATTTGTATCATTTACGTAATTTATAATAATGTCAAAAGTCATATAACCATTGATTATTTATAAGTTTAAATCCCAAATTTGTTTAACAAAATGTGAATTCTCTCAGCCCAAGAACCCCCACATCAATCGTTATATCCTACACCACGGCGCACATAGCACTGTGCGCCGCGCGCCTCCCAAAACGACGTCGTTTTGGGGTCGTGTTGGGAGGCGCGGTAGGAAGTTGCTGAGATTATGTGTATTCGTTCACAACGTTATGTGTATTCGTTCACAACGTTATGTGTATTGGTTCATACAATTATGTGTATTTTTTATATAATTATGTACATTGTTTTTATACAATTATGTACATCCGAATCAGAAAATTTGTGTGTATTATGTTAAGAGTTGATGTGTATTATGTTAAAAGTTTATGTTTATTATGTATTATGTTAGATTATGTGTATTATCTTTTAAAAAGAGTATGTATATTTTGTTATAACATTATGTGTATTCATGTATAACATTATGTGTATTCAAGTATAACATTATGTACATTCTTGAACAGCGGTTTTTTTTTAAAGAAAAGCCTACTGCCATTCACTGGGGCGGGAAATTTCAAAAAAAAAAAAATAAATAAAACGACGTCGTTTTGCATCTGGGCGCATAGTGCAATGTACGCCGTGGTGTAGGATATAAATTGCCCCCCCACATCCAAGCGACAAATTATTCTGTGGACCCAAGTTCAAAAATACACAATTTACCTTTTAAAAAATCACAATTAATAATGACCATGAATTGTATTTACAAATTTGATAACTTAAAAACACAATTTATATCCTAGAAGTTCATAATTCCAATACTATAACTACACACTTTAGGACCAGGACCCACCTTGTAAGGTGGACCATTGTCCATAGTATAACAACTGAAGGACGCAAATTTTACTGTGGACCATGGTCCATGTAGCATCATTGAGACATGGACCATAAAGCAAAACGACGACGTATCATTTTAATTACACTTCAGTTTTATTTGACAAATATTGCTATATTTTTTAGTTTCCTTTTTCACCCACAATAATTTCATTATAGCAATATTAAAGTATCATTTTAATTATAGTGATTCCAATAAACTACTGCGAGAAGCATTAATGGGCTCGGTTCGGGAGAGCAGAAACTCGGAGGATCAAGACCTCCTTGATCGAAATACGAAGAGGAAGAAAAGCAAGACATTGGAAGCACAGGTGGAGGACGCGATGAGTATGGGCAACTCTACTATGGGGCTAGAACCAACGCACACGTACACTATGCATGCAGGATAATACACTTTTGGACATAACAGCGGGAAGACATGGCGGCTTCGAGAGTCAAACTTATAATTATCAAGTCAATGACCTGATCGAATTTTTATCAATTCTAGACATACAGTAGTATGAGACATTTCCAATCCTACACAAAAATAACTAAAGCATTCATAATTATGTTTTGTTTGATACAAAATCTTCTTCTTTCCTAAACCCAATGATAAATCAAATAAATAAATAAATAAAGAAACCTATCAAATTCAGAAATCCAGAAATATAAGGAGCAGTAGTAGTAAATAGAACTACTGACCACGTTAGAAGAAGCTGCCGATCCATAAGTGGTGCCATCGGGCTCGACGGTAAAACCGGCCTCGCGGGCGAGGGCAGCGGTGACTTTATTCATTTCAGCACGGGGCTGGAGGTTGAAATTGCTGTACTGGCGGAGGCCGGCCAACATCCTAGCAGTGAAGGCCCGGCGATTGCGCTCGAGAAACTTCCTGCTCTTGTTGGCAGTAGCAGAGGCAGCGTTGCCGCTCATTCTGCCGGCAAAGCCATGAGGACGGCGGGAGGCCGATTGGGGGTTGGGGATTAGGGTTCGAATTCCGGTCGTAGCTCGGGTTCGGGTTGGCGGTTTTACATTGGTTCTCCACACTCCATTAACAGCTTACAGCTTTGCATCTTATATAGATTTTTTTTTTTTTTTTTTTTTGGTGGGAACAAATAATGCAGAAATGGAAATATTTTATGCGTCTGAACAAAAATGGAATTTATTTTTATTTGTATAGACAAAAAATATTTCTTACTAAATATGATTGACGTTTGCCCTGGCCATTTCACAAATGCAAACGGTACATTTATGAATATTTTACTTATACCCGCATGGGCTGCTCAACTGGTTATACAGGTGAAAGTTTGGAAGAATAACTAGGGATCAAGTCTCACCAGTAGTAGTGTGGGAGGAATCTCTCAAAGTGAGGGGGGTTCCTTGTGCGCAATGAGCAAGGGTACGGTCTAGTCTTTGTGGTTCATGTTCAGTAAATCCTCCCGGCCTAGAGCAGTCTAGAATGAATATTTCGCTTATTACTTACTCCGTATTAAATTTTGAGTTATAGATCTTTCAATTTACTAGTAATACATCTTTCGATTTAATTACATAACTAGTATGATACTCGTGCGATGCAGTGTATAAAATCTTATGTACTAAAAATTTTAAATTATATTAAAATTAAAATCTAGAGATGGATAAACAAAATTTGACAAGTAAATGGCTATCTGTAGGACGGAGCCAGAAATTTGATTGAGGGGGGGGGGGGGGGGGGCAAAAAGTAGTACGGATTCAGAAATTTTTTCCAGTAAAAGCGAAACATTAAAACAAAAGAGATAATTTTAAAAAAAATAAATAAATTACCTAAGATTTTTTTTATATAATCATTACTTAAAAAATATAGTTGTAAATATTGTTGGATATGTGCGAAACATAAAACACATCAAAACCTTTATAAAAATATTCATAACATAATATGAAACATAATTAATTTGCTAAAATAATTTGAATAGAAAACACATTATAAATTACGCATATTAAAAAAGTGGCCATAGGGGAAGAACTCAAAAATATGTTAACCCAAAGATTTGAACCCAAAACCTTTCCTATTAACAAACACATGCTTTACCAACTACTCTAACTCCTTAATTGTTAATATTTACATATTAACACTTATAATATATATACATATATATATATATATATATATATATATATATATATATATATATATATATATATACAAATATTATATATGGGGTGGGGTGGGGTGGGGTGAGGGGGTGCAGCTGCCCCCCTGCCCCCCCCCCCCCCTCTGCCTCCGTCCCTGGCTATCTGAGTCATTTACAATCAATATTTTAAGACTATATAGATTATTGATTCGCGATGCAACAACGTACAACTAACTATGTACAAAAATTGATATCTTTAGTAGCAATTTTTCATATGTGATAGCGTTTGACATTGACTTTTATGATTTAATAATTTATTTGACAATTATTCTATAATTTATAGCAACCACAATTCATACATTATTTGTGCTATCAAAGTCTCGCTATTTTAATAATAAATGCCATAATTTTTTAATTAATTTGTATCATTTATGTAATTTATAATAATGTTATAAGTTATATATTCATTGATTATTTATAAGTTTAAAATTCAAATTTGTATCTTAGCCCAAGAACCTCCGTATCCTGCATGGAGTAATAAATTACAATGACTCAATAATTCATTACGTAAAAGGGGTCAAAGTACCTACGAGGTCCTTGTACTATGGTGTTTTGTTCAATTTAGTCTTTATACCTTTATTTAATTTAATTTTGTCATTGTACTTTAAAAAAGTTCTACAATTGAGGACAATAGTTACGACGTTAATATTATCATTAACTTAAGTTATGTGGTGCTGACATCATTGTTACATCATGATATTTATATTCTTATTGGTATATTGTTATTTTATAAATATTAAAATTAATTACTTTTATCACCGTATATTAAATTAGTATGTCCAAAATAAATAATTAAAACCATGTTCCTAATGAGATTTGGACACTTGATGTCAATATGCTTGCAATTATTTATTTTAGACATATCAATGTAATATATTAGTGGTAAAAATAATTAATTTTAAATATTTATTAAATAATATATGAGTTGGAATATATATCATGATGTGGTATCAATGATATCAACGGCACGTAAGCTAAGTTAACGGTAATATTTACACTGTTAATTATTGTCATTAGTTTCACGGCTTTTAAAGTAGAAAAACTAAATTGAACAGAATAATAATACAAGGACTAAATTGAACAAAACACTATAGTACATTGACTTCATAGGTATTTTGACCTGAAAAATGAGGCAAATTTTACTGTGGGTCATGGTCCATGTAGGCTATAGCATCACGTACCATAAAGAAAAACGATGTCGGGATCGTATCATTTTAATTACACTTCAGTTTCATTTGACAAATATTTCTATATATTTTTAGTCTCATTTTTCATGCACAATAATTTTATTATAACAATACTAAAGTATCATTTTAATTACACAATAATTTCATACAATATCTACAATTCTAATAAGAGCCAATAATGTTAGACCCTTAACCAAAACAAAAAAATGTCGGTAGTATTGTTTCTTAAAATGAATGGTTCATATTATTTTGATTTTAGTATTTTTTTTAATGATTTTCCTTATTTACCCTCTATTATATTATTATTTTCCCTTAAATAACTTAAATTCCGTTAGTATAACGGAATTTAAGATTTTCAAAAAAACTTAAATTCCGTTAGTATAAACTTTAGTAACAGAATATTCTGTTAACTATTTATTATTTTTAACTTACTCATTAATTTATATAAGAAAGGTCTTAGGTTCGAACTCCATCCCAATTAGAGTTGACATAATTTTTAAACATATATTACGAATATGTTAAAATGTATTAAAAATATATATAATATAAAAGTTAACATAAATTTTGGTCAAATAATTAGTCCAACTAAATACATAACATTCAAAGTTAAGAATCAAAGATTATAAATCAATAACTTAAAAAAAAAACAATTATTTTATTATTGTTGATCAAAAGTATGTATGCCACTTTATTACTCTTATTAAATTAAATAAATTAGTAGCTATAACAAAAAATAATACATATGCATTTAATTAATTTAGAATAAGATGTCTATAATGCCTTTATTTTAAAAAATTATTCATTATAAAAAACTTAAAAGAGATATAATTTCATTAGTTATATTATCTTTATTTTCTACAATTCAAAGATTAATTACCTTCAAATTTATTAATTTATTATATTCACTACATTGTCCATTGTTTTCTTTTTATATTATCTTGTAATTAAATATCAAAGTTATAATACAAAATATGTTATATATATTTAGAGTAAAAAACATTTTTGGTCCTAAACTTATAGTGGCATGGACAATTTTAGTCATTTTTAAAAAAAAATCAAACAATTTATGTACACTCTTATTGTGACGCAAGGACAATTTTGGTTCCGTCAACATTCCCGTTAGATGCCCCGTTTGAGTGGGGGTAATTGTGTCTTTTCAACATTACCAGATGGCCGTTTGACGACGACAACAATTTGTCAGCTTGGTCACACGACTCCTTCGTTGTTTGCTTTTCAGATCGTGAAGAAATGGTTTCGACGACATAGATCTGGTAATCAAGCTCTCACAAAGCTGTCGAATCTTCTCTCCTCCCCTCGGCGCCACCACCAACATCAGGAACTGCCACCATCATCCCTTTTTTTCTTCAGATCTGGAGATGCTAGAGGCCACCGGTGCTTGGTAGTCGAAGAGCCACAACCATCTACGCATCGCGAAGTCGTAGACGGTGAGGACAGACGCTGTCGCCAAGCTATAAACAGTGAAGCAGGCGAGTATGTTGGGCGATGATGGCAGCAGAAGAAGAAGACTTTGGAAGTTCTAGAATGAATTTCAAATGCAATCGATGGTGACTGTCATTTTTTTAACTTTTTTTTTTTTGCATTTCTAATCATCTGCTCACACCACCATCATCCCCAGCAGTCTCCGCCGCCACCCCCTGCACTGCCAATCTCCTTCGACCGTGAGACGGTGGCCGGCTGTGCGCTAAAATTCGAGGAACCCAGAGGTTCCCGATCTTCAATCCGACAAGAGACGAGAGGTCTCCGCAAATCCCCAACCTCATCCAAACCATCTGATCGACCATGCAAGGGTAGGGACGCCAGCAAATCCTCCATTGACGAAGGTGCGATCGAACTATCAGCCAGCGTAGAAGCTCTCCGATCCACAATCCGATCATTTGCGGACAACCTCGATGCCTCCCCAGCACCATCCAAGCCCTCCGATCGTCCATGCAGTCTCCCAATCGCCGGCAGAGTCGCCATTGACGAAGGATCGCCTAGATTCTCGAAAACCACAGTTGACCTCCGATTATGACTCTAATCAGTGGTGAACGACCGAGATACCTCCCTGATCCATCCTCGTCTCCTGATCGTTGAACCGCCGGATGGATTACCAGCGAGGGGCTAGAGACGAATCCGGCGATGTTGCTGTGGACGTACCATACGAGGTTGGGTTCTACATTGCGTATCGGATCGTTGAACCGTCGGCTGCGTTGCGGACCTGGGACACCGGTAACCATAACCAAAATAATAAGCTGAATTGACACAAAAGGCCCTCATTTAGACGGTCAACTAACAAAATAATAGACGAAGGACTAAAATTGTCCTCGTCACAATAAGTGTGTCTATAAATTGTCTGATTTTTTTAAAAATGATTAAAATTGTCCGTGTCACTATAAGTCTAGGACCAAAAATGTCTTTTGCTCTATATATTTATTTACCAAGTATTTTATACAAATATAATAACTATTAATATTTTTTTCAATACTTTCACATGATTATCTACGACACACATCTCACAGCGCATGAAACATGTAGGGGAAAAACTACCACTACCAAATATCAAAAGGTGATTGTA